GAGTAGAAGTCATGGATAATCTTCTCCATTGCCCTTCTGGAAAATGTGATAGATTGATCAGGACATCAGAGGGCAGTCATCTTGGCCTTGTAGTTGGCAAAGGACAGGCAGGCATTGCGAATGCTTTTCCTGACTTCTGCCTCGTCTGCAGCACTTCTGCTCTTCTCTCTTTGAGGTCTTCCTGGATCGTTTCTCTGCACTGCTTTGCGAGCTCAGGCATTTGGTTGCAGTTGTCTGAGGCTTGCGCCAAGCCATGTTGGCGAATGAGCTCAAGAGTTTTCGAAGACAGGCATCTTTTTGTGGCTACCTCTCTCTCGGTATTCCTCACACAATCATGGAGGTGCTGAACCAGTCCATCATATTCCTCCTCAATGTTCTCAACAATGGAATCTTCTCATGTTGCCGCAATAGTGCCAAAGAGCTCCCAGTTGGTGGTTGTTCTGGGAGTTCTCTTCTTAATCTTTGCAGCCCTTTCTCCCCACTCCCTGAAGTAGAAATGTACACAAAATTCCAATCCCGTTTGGAATTTTGGAACAACAGTGACACTGATTAGGCAAAACCATCAGTTGAATCTGATGTGGTCAATTTGGTTGTGGAACTGTCCACTGGGGGACTCCCATGTCCAATGTTTAGATCCGGCCTTCTGGAACTGTGAGTTACCATGGGTAGTCTCGGTCTACATAATGAACCAGGCAGTCTCTCACCCTGTTCATTCCATTCTAGGCCATGGGTCCTGATGTGGAGTTCTTCAGCTGATCTTCTTGGTTCTATCTTGGTATAAAAATCACCGACAATGATCTTGTAGAAGGTGTGGTCTTCTTTATAGAACTTCTCTAGCTCCATGTAGAACTTCTCAATTTTTCCTTCATCATAATCGGATGTAGGTGTGTAGACAACGAAGATAGAAACTTCCGGCCAGCATTGAGCCACATATATTCAAGTGTAATAGTTCAATTTGGGTTGTTAGGCATTCAAATTAATCAATGCTTATGGTCAAGTTCATGTTGCCAAGGACAACAACACCACCAATGCCTCTTTTGTCACATGTTCTGAGGAACAGTTCTTCTCCAGTGTTGAAAACGGCATGATGTGATTGATGCCTTCTCTTCTTGGTCAGACCAATATGTCATACTTGATCTTTCACGCTTGCACAATCAGGTCCTTGATGGATGCATCCAATGCCAATGTACATGCATTGAAAATACACACATTCATTTTTGTTCTTTTTCATTTTGGCACCCTAGTTTGGCCTTGAGATTTTATCAGCCTCTCCTTCCTCTTCCTTCTTAACGCTGCCATATTGGTGGCACTTTCAGGGTCAGCAGAAAGAGACCCACTGTATTTATTGGTTTGGGCATATCAAATACACCATGGATAGTTTGCCAGGTTCTGCCGTGCGGGCGGGATACTCTCGGTAGCTTGCCAGGATCTCCAAAAGGAATAGAGGCTTTTAGGGCAGCCTCTAATTGCACTTGCAGGTGTTCCCATGGTTCCAACCATATTTGAACCTTATCAAATAGGGTGTGGTGATCTTGGATGATGGGTATTAAGTGTCTTATTATGTGTCGACTGGTCACAAAGCAGCCGTGCGGTCTGGAAATCGTCTTAGATTGTGGCGGTGCTTGGGTAGTGGAGGTAGTGGAGATAGTGGAGGTTTGCCAATGAGGTATTTATCTTGTACTGGTAGGGTGTACTATTCAAAAATCCTCTATGCATTTATATATGATAGATAGATAGATAGATAGATAGATAGATAGATAGATAGATAGATAGACAGACAGAACATATATGTATATATTCAGGCATCTACAGATAAACATTTGGGTTGAATACAACAGAATGTTTCTTTCGGGGGAGTTTTTATACATATTGTAAAAACAAAGTGCTTAGAAATGAACATATTACAGCATTTAAAAGGAGTTTATTTTACTGTGGTATATTTGTTTGATAATAATGTTTTCCTTAACTTGGAGAAAGAAATGCCACTTTAAGAAATGTGTTAACAGTTTATTTAGTCAGACATACTACAACCCAGGCAATGATACACTTTCTGGTATGTATGAATTTAATTGACTGATAGAATGTGTGGAGCAACTATTGAATCAACAACACTGTGAAAGATACTGAGGAGCAAAAAAATCTGAAAATATTCCTGTACTTTAGAAGTCCAAAAGGAGATTGGTGGTGGGAGGGAATGTGGGGTAACTGTGAAGGCATCTTAGATATGGGTGGAGAAGTTGGTGAAATTGTAAAGAGTATCAATACTATTTTAAACTATGATGTCTCAAGTAATATGTATCATCATTATAATTTATATGTTAAATGCAAAATATATATTATATACTAAATGCATTAAAAAGTTATATATGTGTGTATATATATAATTTCTGAAATTATCCTTGCCCATATACATACATATACATATATATATACATATATATATACATATATATGGGCAAGGATAATTTCAGAAACAGAAGTCCAATGTCCACACAAACAATTGCTTGGTAATCATTACCACTAAAATATTTTAATAATATAAAATGGGGGGCGGGGGGAGCAATGGGGAATGTTGTGTCTCATTGAGAATTGAAATGATCTTCCCAGGAATCAAAAACATAAAATTATAAAATATTGTTTCTACCTTTCTAGCAATAGACTAAAAGGAATTAGTAAAATAAAAATATTTACATATTGGGTATCATTTGAAGGTGATACTTTGGAATGGTACTTGTACACATAAGCTTCATCTCCTTATCAAATTAGAACAGGTTCATTGTAGATTTCAGTTCTGTAACTTTAGAGTTATTTTTGGCATGATGTACTGGTATTTCTTGTTTCATGTAGAAGTAGAGACAAGTCTTAATTTAAAATTTTAAGGGGGCTGATAGCACAGTGAGTAGGGTGTTTGTCATGCACATGGCTGACCCGGGTTCGATTCCCAGCATCCCATATGGTCCCCTGAGCACCACCAGGAGTAATTCCTGAGTACAGAGCCAGGAGTAACCCCTGTGCATCGTCAGGTGTGACCCAAAAAGCAAAATAAAATAAAATTTTAAGGACCCTTAACATATTCTTAAATAATTTACTGTGAAAAGGAACCCAATAGGAAATTTTTCATTTGTTTGAATCAGAAGCATAAGATTGGAAGTTTAATTTGGAGTATTTTTTATACATGTTTTCATATTAACTTAAAAGCTCAAATTAGATAAGGGGTGTGTTCCATTAATCTCTTAACTGGTGCTTATAAATGTTCATAAAGTCATATGACAGAATGCAAATACCTCTAAACAGTCAGAGTGGTTTTTCCAGTGAGCTGCTAACCACAGAAAGTTCTATTACCCTTCACTGTCCCTGTTACTGGATGGAAAGGGATCAGGAAGACCCCCCCATACAGGTATAATATACAGTGACCTCAAGCAGAAACTAAACAAGAAACTTATTTTTATGTTGTTTAACTTGATTTATCATAGGGCTGGAGTGATAGTACAGCAGGGAGGGTGTTTGTCTTGCACACAGCTGACCCGGGTTCAATTCTCAGCATCCCACATAGTCCCCAGAACACTGCCAGGTATAATTCCTAAGTGCAGAGCCAGAAGTAACCCCTGTGCATCACCAGGTGTGACCCCTCCAAAAAAAATCCCCCCAAAAAAGAATAACTTGCTTTATCATAATTGAAGATGATCTAAAACCCGGATAATAGAATCCCATTTAGCAAAGTATATAGAACTGCCGTTTTATGTGCTTCTGAATGACAAGAATTTCACTGGATTTTTGGACTATCACCTCCCAAATATTGTTGAAAGTATGAAATATTTATAAATAATGTTTGGTATAAATCTGTTTATAAACTCTGGAATTTAAGAAGTAGCAATTTATTATCTGGGTATTGGTGCAACATTGCAAAATCCCTATCTTATGAGGGGCAGAAAATTGAACTTTGATCTTACCTGCTGATCCATATTGGTTGTTGGCACCCCACATGGTCCCCTGAGCCCCATCAGGAAAAATCTCTGAGTGCAGAGCCAGGAGTAAGCCCTGTGCATTGATGGGTGGGGCCTGAAAAACAAAAAAAGATTTTATCTTGACTCCTGCCCATGACCCTTGACATTCGCCCTATCTGATCTACTCATTCTTATCTCTTGTCCTTTAGCATCAATCTATGGAAAATCTTCAATGTAGCTATGTAAAATATAAAATATATAATACTGAATATTTAAGTATAAATTTTTGTAATTTCAAAAAAATTACCCATCTGAACATTATTCAGTACCTATAAGGAGCCAACAATTCTGTGTTTATAATACCTTTGAACAAACCATGGTAAAATCATTTGTATTCTGAAAGTGAAATATGCAGTTATCAAAACACATCTTCTTTGCCTTCATGAGCTGCAAATATGTTATTTTGTTATTTCCTCAATAAACCTGATGTGTTTAATAATTCCTTTCTTATATGTTCCTTTGCACCCTTTTATATAGGTGGAAAAATATCACAGGAAATTTAGCAACTTCTCTCATAAATAAAATGTGCTGCCTGCCCAAAAATTAAAATTAAAGACTATCTTATTCTCTTAACCTGTCTTGTCTGTCTCTGTCTATCTGTATTTCTCTCTTTACCCCTCCTTTCTATCTATCTCTTCTCCTCCTCTTCCTCCTTTTCCTCTTCCTCCTCTCTTTCTCTCTCTCACAGACACACAAACACTTACGTAACATTTTCTTTTGTCATGGTATTAAAACTTTCTAATGCAGTGTATATTTTTGTCATTTCTTATATTTGATGCTTATTGACTGTCTCCCTCAGTAGAATGTATTGCTACAAGGGTAATTATGGTTTAACATATTCCAGATTTCAAACACAGACTGACCTAAGGTGGATAGTTAATACATACTGGTTGAATGGCACAGGACATTTTCATAGGAAAGTGGCAAAAAGAAAAAGAGCACCCACTATTATTTTTGTCAAGTTATTTAATAAGTATTATTATATTATAATTTTAGATATCAACATGGCAGGAGAACCCAAACCATACAGACCAAAACCGGGAAACAAGAGGCCCCTTTCTGCACTTTATAGGTAAGTAAGCAAACTTTTATGTTTTAGCCTATATAGAAATGAAAAGGTCTTGAAATTTGAAATGCAATATGAACCTATAAAGACCTTAAATACTTGAAGAATATCCTCACTGGTATATAAGGTACAACAAAATGTAGTCAACATAAAAATATATCACACTGCATTGTTAGATTCTGGTATACATGCCCTCTGTTTCTACTTAAACAATCATTTTATAAGATATTGTTTTCTCAAGAAAATCCTATAAAAATACTTCAGGTACCTTCAAGTGGTGGGAAATTCATATTTGTGAACCACTATGTACTATTCCCTGTAGGTATTTTATATATGTTATTTAATTTGATTTTTACAAAACCCCTGCAGTGTAAATATTAATGTCGGTATCTCAAAGACCAACAACCTAATTTGTGGGTTTTTTAGAGATTCCCTAGGTGGTAAATGAGAACAGTAGTAATCAAATCCACACTTCTGCTATCACTCCCTGGATTCTCTCTTTGCCTCACCTGACTCTTTTATTACACAGTATTTGCTTCTCTCAGCCCGATTTCTCCAAAACAACTAATACCATCGATCCTCCTATTCACCAAGAGACATATATAATTTCCTTGTCCTTTCTTAATATTCTTGAATTTGAGTCAATTTAATATCATTTTCATACCCCCTTTATTCCCCTTCTCAATGTCCCTACCTATGATCTCAGTTCCACAGAGATACATTTTGCTATCTTTAGAATTTTTATTGTTTGGTAGATGCTTCTGTCAAGGTAAAAATTTATGTGCTTATTTGGGAAAGAAAGTAAGAACAAACTCATAGAATTTTGTTCTATAAAAGCAACCACATGTGAAAAAAAATCATTGCCTTCTTTGCCTCCTATTAAGCTCTATGTCCCACTTCATGTAGTTTTCCCATTGATTTTTGTTCTGTAAATGATGAGTTTGTTGGGTGTGATTCATAAAACAAAGAACAAACAAACAAAAAAAACAGGGATGGAGAGATAGAACAGTGTACAGGCCACTTGCCTTTGATGTTGTGGACCTGGGTTCAATCCTCGACACCACATGTGGTTCCCCAAGCCGTGAGCACTGTTGGGTGTACAACCCCACCCTCCCATGCCTTCTCCCCAAAGAGAAAGGTATTCAAGTGGCACTAAATACATTCATGTTACATAATCATCAATACTGTGTAGCTCCAGAAAATTTATATCACCCCAAAAAGAAATTTTGCATCCTTTAAATCACTTCCCTCTTCTCCTTGGTAGTTCTCTTTGGTAATTCTGGCAACTACTAAAGTAACCAATCTGTTTCCTGTCTCTATAGAAGTTCTACTTTTCGCTATTCCATATAAGTGAAAATGTTTTATGAGTCACACCTACCAATGTTCAGGGCTTACTCCTGGCTCTGTGCTCAGAGATCACTCCTGATGCTGCTCAGGGGCCATATGGGGTCTGGATTGAACCCACATCAGCTTCATGCAAGGCAAGTGCATTACCTGTTTAACTCTTTTTCCTCAATTACATATGTTTGTTTTTGTTTTTCTGCCATACCCAACAGTGCTCAGCACTTACTACTGGCTCTGTGCTCAAGGATCACTCCTGGTGGGCAAGACAAATGCTATACCCGCTGTACTATTGTACTGTACTCCGGTCTCCCAATTACGTTTCTTATGTAAGAGAGCATTTCTATTTTTATTTATTTATTTATTTATTTTGCTTTTTTGAGAACATTTTTTATTAAGAAACATCCAGTGAAGTTTTAGAGTAAAAGACACCATGTCATTTTCTTTTATATGATTTATAAAAAAAATACTTGGAGAAGGGAGAAAAAGAATAATACAATAAGACAGTATATCAATTGATGAATCTGGGTATGATGTGTTACTTATACTATTTTTGGAGCATTAAAATTTTTTGGTGTGGAGGCCTCCCATGTGCTGCTCAAGGGACTTGGGGTCTACTCCCAAAAATACTTAACAAAAAAAAAAAACTGGAGCAGATTTTTCTTTTTTTTTTTTATTTATTTTTTCTTTTTTTTTTATTTTTTATTTTATTTTTTTTTATTAGTGAAACACCATGAAGTACAGTTGTAGATTTACAAATTTTTGTGCTTGGATCTCGGTCATACCACGATCAAATACCCATCCCTCCACCAGTGTCCATTTTCCACCACCAGGATAATATCCCTCCCCCCCCCATTCCCCTATCCCCCCATCCCCCCCTGCCACTGTGGCAGGGCATTCCCTTTTGTTTGGAGCAGATTTTTCAAAGTGAACCGTGGATCAGAGTGTCAGCACTGCTTAGAACTTGTTGTAGCACTGTAAGACTGTCCTCCGGCTATTCATCACTTTGCTCAAGCATGCACCAGTAACGTCTGCACTGTGAGACTTGTTACTGTTTTTGGCATATCAAATACTCCACGGGGAGCTTGCCAGGCTCTGTGGGTGGGATACTCTCGGTAGCTTGCTGGGCTCTCTAAGAAGGACAGAGAAATTGAACCCGGGTCAGCCACTTGCAAGGCAAACACACCCTACCCACTGTGCTATTGCTCCAGCCCACTTAGAATTTGTTACAAATAAAAATTCTCAGACCCCACCATATATCTATTGAAAGAGAAACTCAGTGAGTGGAACCATCAATCTCAACTTTTAAGATTCCTCCATGTAATATTTTGGGGGGGGTTGTTTGTTTGCTGGTTTTGGGCCACACCTGGCAGTGGTCAGGGTTTACTCCTGGCTCTGCTCAGGGATCACTCCTGGCAGTGCTCAGAGATGTTGTAGGTTGCACCTGGGTCACCCATGTGTAAGGCTAATATCCTAACCTCTATCCTATCTCTCTAACCCCTTATTCCATGTAATTTTGATTCATTCTGAAAAATTGTGATATGCACTGCCATAGATTGACTTGAATTCTAGATTATTTTGCATAAGTTAAAAAAGATTTGATAAACAAGTGGACCTTCCTACTGTACTATCCCTCTGCCCATGGCACTGTTGTTGTATTTTTGGTTTTTTGTTTTGTTTTTATTTTGGTTTTTTTTTTCTTTTTGGGTCGCACCCAGGCTGGAACAATAGCACAGCCGTAGGGCATTTGCCTTGTGCACAGCCAACCTGGCTGAGCTGGGTTCGATTCCTCCGCCCCTCTCGGAGAGCCTGGCAAGTTACCGAGAGTATCTTGCCCGCACGGCAAAGCCTGGCATGCTCCCTGTGACATATTCAGTATGCCAAACACAGTAACAACAAGACTCAAAATGGAGACATTACTGGGCCACTTGAGCAAATCGATGAACAAGGGGAGGACTGTGACTGGGACTGTGACTAAATGATGAGTTTTCATATATCTCTATTAGATTTCCTTTTGTTAGATATTGCCAATTGTTCTGGCCTATCGAGTTCTTCTAATATCCAATTCATTTGATCCTCTCCCAAATACAGATTATCATTTCAAAAGTATCCACTTCCAAAAAGCTATTGTAATATCAAAGAAGGCCCCCATTTTACCCAATGTCATATGGGTAATTTAAAAAATTGGACTATACACACTAAAATTGACTACATTCTGACATATGTATATAATAAAGACAACTGTACAAAAGGAAGTCTGTAACTGCTTTCTGCCCTTGTTCTCTTAAAACTGACATATTTCCTTTTCAGTCACTCAACAGTTTCATTTCTCCAACTGTAAAATGAGTGCATAAGATATAGATAAGGTCTAAATTTCCATCCACAGCTAGTTCCTAGATTTTCCTAATGTATGACCGTAAGAGATCTTAAAGAATTTTAAAAAGCATATTTGAAACATGTCTTAATTGGTCACCTATTTTTGGCTGTGTGAATTTAATTCTAATTTTAAACTTCATATAAAATTTGAACTTAACAGATGTTAATAATTGATCATAACACAGTATTGATATTCAAATGCAGAGACACATTCTCCAACAAAAGGCAAATGATACTTCCTATATCTTCTTAAAAATGAAGAACAGTATTCACAAAGTTCAAAGGCAAATTATTTTTTTAACAGAATTATTTTGTAAAGATGCATGCATATAGGTAATGAAGAGCATTTGAAAAGTTTTATATTCAGCTATTAATAAACTAGCCAGCAATAGTTTTTTTTTTCTTCCTTTTTATCATCAAAGATTCCGTGCAAAGATGTTAATTTTGATATTTTTTCAGTTCTTGGAATGCTTTGCTTTTTTTTTAAGAGAATGAATGCTTTTAAGAAGAGCAGCTGCCCTTTTGACTACTGTTTCTCTATTGCAAATTTATGTTGAACATCGAATTCAAACGAATTAAAAGAAGAAAATCATTTAAATCCGATCAATAAATCCAAGAGTCATATTAGTGGGGAAATGGGTATTTTCCTATTTTCATTTGTTTACACAAATGAAGTCTGGGCAGAGCAAAAGGGAAACAAAGGAAATAAAAGGGAGTAATCATCTCAAAGAAAGCTCTTTTATACACTTTCTCATTCTTGCATAGGCTTAATAATAATGCCTTACTTTTATATAGACAAATTGGGTTTTCTTAGTCATTATTCATCTGCTCACCACAGAGCTCCACAAAGATTGTCTTGTTTTATAGATGAGAGAACTAAGTCTCCAAGACAATAAAGGATTTGCCCAAACTAAAGTAACAAGATTAGAAACTGAACTCTGGTTTTCACACTTCACGTCTAGTGATCTTTCTACTAGATCACAGCTGCCCATATTAACCCACCTTCCAACATCTAAGCAATGCAAATTTTTTAAAAAAGAGCTCCCTGCCAAGAGAATCAATCTCCAGGTTACTTTTATGTCCTTGAGATTTAAGCCCACAGATGGAAAAGCAGAGACTTGTACACAATACGTACTATAAATCCAAGAGTTTCTCTATTAAAATCAGATCATGACTTTTAAGCATCAAGTCCTTTATCTTTCAGATGTATCACTTTTTAGCCTTAAAGTCCATATTTGAGTTGAAGGCTTCAAGTTTACTATTTGGAAGATGTTAGCATCTTGAAAGGA